TCGACATTCAATACGAACTTAAATAAGGCCAATAAAACTGGAGTCTGCATTTACAATATAGATGACCGTGTACGTTGAATTCAGAGCACCATATTTCCTATTCAAACAAATAGAATACGAATTACGTAACGTCAACAAATACTTTGTTTTTTATTTGTCCCATCTTGATACACATAATTATTAAAATAATCTCTCACTGTACATTATTGTGATATAGAGATTATTAATAGAGAAAGCTTGAGAGTAGCCAGTGGTAGAGAATGTATGGAGTAAAAGGTTAGCATGGTATGGACATGTTATGAGGAAGGACGAATCGCATGTAACAAGGAGAACGCTAGTTATGAGTGTGGAAGGGTACACTGGAATAGGTAGACCTGAAGATATGAATGGATTGCGTGAATAGTGACATGATCAAGAAGGGAGTGATGAGTAAGATGTCGTGTGATAGAGTTATATGGAAGATAACCCGTTGCGCCGTTCCTTCCGGATAAGGTAGAAGATGATTATTATAAGAGAATGTCAATAGAAATCTACACTAAAGATTGCTCGAGTAATAATCAAATAATACTAAGTGTATTATGCACTGTACGTAATAGTACATAGTTCTTTGTTTTTGAAAGAAAAAATGAAAACATTCATGACCGCCATCTAGTAGTAGCATATGGGAACTTTTTAGAATATAGTATACAACGTAAAGGTGCCTTAAAATTTCATGAGATGTCTCTAGATGATACAAATTAGTTACCCACTATTTTTTTTTTATTAGCGAGCTGTGGCCAGCGACTTCGTCCGCGTGGTATTAGAAAACATACGAACTATATAAATTACAAAAAGCTACGTATCCCTCGGGAACCGGACATTTCTCTGGGATGAAGCTTATCTCATGTGTACTCCAGACTTTGTTTTATATCTGTCCCAAATTTTAATAAGATATGTTGAACCGTTGTAGAATGATCGAGTAAACATTAAAAAACTAAATTAATGAATCCCACGGGAACCGTAACTATTCCCGGGATAAAAAGTAGCCTATGTGTTCTTCCAGACTATGCTCTCAACCTGTGCCAAATTTCATGGAGATCCGATCAGCCGTTTAGGCTACAAACGGTAACAAACATCCATCCATCCATCTAAACTGACGCGTTTATAATATTAGTAAGATTAATAATAGCATTAATAAACGAAATAATATAATATTTGTATATCCGAATTCTTTCTTCTAGTTAAATAAAAACAACCAAATGAATTCCAAGAAGTTTATTTACTTGGAAAAGTCAAACATTTAAGATCTTATTACTATACACAATCTCGCCTAAACAAATAAATAGTATACGAGTATATAATAATAAAACATTAACCTAGTATCACTATTAAAAACCGGTAGAATTAAAATATTCAATAATATTGTTCTATTTATACGTAAAATACGAAGCATTCAACAAATATTTGGTATGCGCTCGATTCCACTTAATTATAATTAATCAATAATAAAAAATACATAGTAAGAGCGGGTGCACATCTGTGACGAAATGATCGCACAACCGTTGTGCGATTGTTGATTATTTTGCAGCCAATTCAACTGTTTAGTTGCAACTAAAAATCGAGTAGTATGTACCTCCATATGAGCTCAAAGGAATCGAAGCGAGACTAGACAGTTGTGCGATTGTGTTCAGGTGAGCATACGCTCAAAATGTTTACTTCTGTATGGCGTGGAGGTGTTTTCAATTTTTTTTTCACATTAATTTCTTTCATTGTTTAGTTGCATATATTAACTGCTTTATGTTATTTTATTCTTAAGTTACAAATGTAACACTTGTATATTGTCATGCTTTTCAATTTGCTTGAATAAAAAAATAACGTAAAAAATTTAATGGTGTTACAAAAGATCGAATTAAAAAAACATTCTTAATAACAAAAAAATTACGATCTCTAATACAACAAAATGTTATTTATATAATTTATTATGTAAATAGTAGTTACCTTATTACAATTACAATCAAGTAATCTATTTTATAATATTTTAAAAATTGAATATTATGACTTACTCATATAATAAGGTATAATAAAATATGTTACTAGAACTATACGTAAATATGAATTACCAAATCGTTTAAGAACAAAAAAATAAAAATCAATGGCCACTTTCATCAACAACGAATTCATAAAAAAACATAAATTTTTATACTTAGTCCTGTCCCACTTCTGGCTGATAGAGGCTCAAACAGCTTAAAAATGACGTCATTCTTAGATAAAGGGAACAAAACTCGATATTTCCATCACATTTACATGCTGGATTGTTAACAGACAATTTACAATTTGGTGGGACAGGCCCTTAGGCTTTATACTGGAATCAAAGAAATTAATGGCATTATTATATTGCTTTGAGTTACTTCATATTAAGTTCGCTTTGGTTCCCAATCGCTTTCTTCAGCAATGTTACAAACCAAAGATTGAAAATGGTCATAAAATCTTAATCTAAGCTACAAGTTTCTTTATAAAAATAACAAATTTATGTACAAAAATTGAGTAAAATGGTTACGAATTGTTAAAATTGGTTTTACAAGAAATTGTGTGTTTATTTTGTATCACTGAATGTTAAAATTTGAGCAACATTTTTTACACAACAAAATAGTTTGCTAAAAATACACAAGAGCAACAATCAGTTCAAATATTTAAGCTGTAATCTATAGTTACGTTATTGTTATATTACAAGAAATTACTTCAAAAACGTTTACAATTGCTAAAAAGTAGAAAGTCCCGAAACCAGCGTGGTAATTATTTTTTGACCATCAAATTGCGTACAAATAGCATGTTTTCTTATCAATAAATGTTTTGAGAAACTGCAAAATCGCTGTATATATTACATACGTTTTAAGCTTTATTACGTGATGATTTAGCATCATATATAAGTTTGCAGAATATTTTTAAAAGAAAATCGAAATTTTGGACAATACTACTCTTATAAAAATGAGTAATTTTTTGCATCAAAATAGGTGCCAATTAAACACCTTTTGGACTCTATTATAAGCTCCAAAACTACTTTATAATATTTGGTGTTACATTTTGAACTAACTATTACTACGGGTTCCGCTAAATCGATACAATTTTTAAAAGTTTATCCAAAATATTGATGTTAGATTTTTATTCGCAAAAATATCGCTACAAAAATTTATAAAATCTGAATCAGACTATGTTACAAAGTATATTATAATTATTATCGTATAATAAATTTCTTCAAGTGTCAATTTAAAAAAGAAAGTATCAAAAAATTTTGTTTAGGTCGATTACATTGTTCCCGCTGTATATAGTCAAATCAGAAAATTACATACGATGTAAAAATATCTTGTAAATTTAAATGAGTTAAAAATAAAAGCAATTAAAATATTCGAAATGAATTAAACTCATCAGACTTCGAATTTTTTTATATCTTTAAACATTTCTTTTTTTTTTGCTTATAAAAGCTCTTGTCATTGTAATTTAGATCTTTTTACATCGCATATAATTTAAAAATTGTTGACAAAATAGTGTATAATTAATAAAAAAGAAATCGATAAAAATAGCAAAATATGTGCGGTTAAAGATAATAAAATGTAACCTATTGGAAGACATTTATTTTGAATCTGTACGCGTGAACTAATTCTACAGCTGATTAGACATTTTAAATGGAATGTGGATACCTATAGTTACATCCTAAACCTATCTTACATCTAAGCGAGATGACAATGAACACAGGACCTTACGACTCCTAAACTAAGATTCTTACTCGCTCAACAATATTTAAAATACTACTAAAAGTAACATTAAAGCGCTAAAAATTATAAAAACCAACCCGTCTTATTATGAAATACTGTTTACATCATATCAACAGAGTCTCGCTAGTAAATTTAAGCGTCAATAAAGCTACAAATAAATAACACTTTAAAATATCTAAATACAATAACTTAACATTACAGCAGTCAACTTTAAAATAACATGGCGGTAAGGTGCACTAAGGACAAAATGTGCACACAATATAACTTCTAGAACATTCCGATTCATTACAGTCTAAGGTTACAAATTTGGGCGTCATTTTACAAAGTTTATTGGCTTTATTTCTACAAAAAATTTATCGTAGTATTACAAATTAATTTCAATATAAAGTGTTAGGAAAATTTTAAAGTTAACAGTACATTTATGGATATTATTTTCGTTATTCAGATCAATTATTTTATCAAAATCATTACTTTATGCTTATGTTTTATGATTATAAGATTTAAGATTATCAATCCTGAAATGGTTTCAATCTTTCAAACATTCAATTTCAAATTTTTGAAACTATGACGTATGGCACTTTATTAATATCTCTGAAACTTTATCTTACATCAATCTATTAGTGATCATATCTACCATCGATAAATCCTCTACATCGATACGTTATTCAAGATTTTAACCCGAAAACTATAGTCTTTCCTTCAGACTCAGAAGTTTTTACACTCAGAATCTAACCACCTTTCGCTACATGTAAGCAGGTTTCATCTTGTAGGCCCGTTTCCAGATCTCGCACAAGCAAACTGTAGAATGGAATCTATAGAAAATCGCGAGCGGCATCGATACGTGTGTAATTATCGTCCAAGCCCAAAGACCGTAGAAATGCAACTGGACTGGATGTGACTCCGCTCTAGATTTTTCTAGAGTATTTATAGCCCACATCGCTAAGTTAGTTACTAAGAGGAACGTAACTATTTCTCTTCCAGGTTTCTTTCGTAACTGTTCCGGTGTTTTCGCCGATCTTCGACTTGCGTCTAATATGAACATCGTCTGGCATGTCGTCTGTACCAAGGATGATAGAGCCGTTATTAATATCAGTATTGTGTTCTTTTCTATTGTGAAATGACCGCCGATAATAGTAAATGTACCATAGATAAACATCCCAGTTTGTGCACCGACCAGTAAAATGTTGTCCAATTCTAGATTACGATTCCCATCGTACTTCAGATTTCTAACGCACACCATTCCAGCTAAACTAGCAAACGTCGTCATTGCGTACAAAGCCAATTCACAAACATTTACTTCAACAACAGCTAAAGTAGCGTATTCCTTTCTCGATATCAGAACAAAGAAGAGTATTAAAGAAATTATTGTTAGAACTAAGACGAGAATTCCAAAAAACAATCCTTTGTGAGCCCTCGCACAATCGACGCTGTACAAATGTGGAGATTTCTTATAAGCTAGACCTTCTAGCAATCTAGCCTTCGCAATAGCGGCTGCGACATCTTTGGATGGGTATTTAGAAATGTTTTTCCACATGACGTATAAAATTGCCGCACATATAAGAGAATATTCGATAGTGCAAGGAAAAAGGAATGGCGATGCGTCCTGCACCAAAGATCCCATGATGTTAGTTCTGCGACATTCGAAGATGTGATGTGGTCCTTTCAATCCTCGCGGCACACGGAGGTGTGCGGCTGCAGGGTGTGACGGCGGCACTTCTGTCGCCAACGATGCAAACGCCTTTTGGAACGCTGAAACGTAAATTGATATAATATTAATTTATATAAAACTAGAAGCAATTATAAAGGAGAGAAGACGTTGAGAAATTGTTGCCTATATTATCTTACTAAAATGAGTTATACAAAGGCTAAAAAAATATAAACACAACTTTCTGTCATAACCACAGCGTAAAGCTCATAAATAATGAATAACTTAGCATAACTATCGAAGTACAAGTACTCCAGCATGCCAGGGTTATCGTGGTTCGGTTCCTATAGAATTCTCCGGAGCATTTGGGTCAACATTCCTTCCGGGGTCAACAGATAGGAATGCAATCGACATAACTTCGAAACTCCTTCACGCCGCATTGGGAATTTCAACACAACATTCATTATCGTTCGTCGCAGGAATAAAAATGGATTTATTATACCGCAAAATGTAGCAGAATTAAATAAAAAAGGGTCAAGAGGGAATAAATTGGAACAAAGAACCGCACGGAAACAAATTACGTTGTAGGGCACTGCATAAAAAATGAGGTTAGCCCGCTTTAGCGCAATAACAAAAAGTAAAGCGCAAAAGCAAGGCGGTGTAAGTACACTTTGTACTGCTTGTTTTAGCTTTACAATATCACGTTTAATTTTCTGTATAAAATGTTTATTTTAACGTGTAAGCTTTGTTTTTTTAAGTAACCTATCCTAGTTACGCGTATGAAAATTTTGTTTGCTGAGTTCTTTTTTACTATTAACTTAACAAGAATAGAAAGCGTTGTAAGGCTTATCAACTTCATCCTGTATATTCTAGAATGTGTTGTAGCAAGCTTAGCCAAGCTATTATCCTGTAAAGCCTATTATGTTCTCTAGAAAGAGAGAGGAAATATCGTCTACTTCTGTAAAATAGCTCACTTTTGCTTATATTTTTATTTTCAAAGCCATTAAAGAAACACATTAGTGTACAAGTAAGTTTTAATTAAATTCATTTGCTTCGAAAGCTTTGCCGTTCCCCCAATTTATGGTACGCAGTCACAAATAATTGAATTAAGCGAACACAAAGGGCATTATCGGGAAATACAACAAACGTAACTTTATATAGTTAGCTTAGTACAAGCAGAAGCTATTCCATTCATTGACACGTAGAGAAACGTAAAAGGCTGTAGGATGGTGAGTAAGTGAGATGTATGTGAGCTAATTGGCGTTTTTTTTTTTTTAGTATATTGTTAAGTGAATTTCTATTCAATTGATCAGTCACTGACTCATCTGAGGATTTCACTATCATACGAAAATATCATAGTGGCATGGCATTTTAAAGGGTATGTACTACGAAATATTGTACCTAAAATTAATGTCTGTTAATCTTTGGAGATTGTTAATGATATACAAAAAAGATTCATATTATCATCATAATAGTATAAATGCAAATATTTCATTGAAAGAATTTTTGTTACGATGTATCTCTAGAACAGCTCAAAGGATTTCAGTGAAATTTGGTACTGATTTTTAATTCCACGCGGAAGATAATATCTTTTTTTCTTTTTTTTTAGTTACGCATACCTTTACGTTTCAGCTTGTACTAGTGTACTAATGTCAGTTGTCGTGTAAGTTACCAACAAGTTGAAACGTCACGATGATATCGATTACCAAGCCGTTGGCCGCGTTTACTTACCGAGTTTAATTCTGTAACTCCGCTATTTTACTACCTCCATTAATGCTATAATTAAAATTTTCCTTGAATCCATTTCGTAGCTTTAAATTTAACCTTTTAAGTAATAAAGAATTTAAAGGCTTCTCTGAAATAACGCAATAAATTTTATAAGGTACAAATCATGAAACTGTCTCATGAGAATACCTATTTTATTAATAGAATATTATATTTAAATCAAAAACTCTATTCTATCTACAAGTTATTATAAGTCCGAAACTAAATGAAAGTGTCTGAACAAAACCCTTTACGGCTTGCGGCCTAAAACAAAACAACGTCGTAATCATTTAAAATCTTGGCAAAGAATCAAATTGAGGTATCCTACTCCTAAAGACCTGTTGAACCGACTGTGGAAATGTTAAACAATTCTTTTTTTAAAGCCAGTATACTCTAGTGTCCAGTTACTTCAAAATATTTCGTTACTCTGTGTTTACCTTCGTAGAGGTTTGTCTATTTTATGCTCTGCGATAATCTTATTTGTGTCCAAACAATTCTCTTTTAAAGCCAGTGTACTCTAGTGTCCAGTTACTTCAAAATATTTCGTTACTCTGTGTTTACCTTCGTAGAGGTTTGTCTATTTTATGCTCTGCGATAATCTTATTTCTGTCCGAATTCAAAACTGTATGTTTAGAGTCTTGTCAGCTAATTGCTTTGTTGAACTTACCGAGGCGATGTGATAATCCTATCGTCTTGTTCTCAGGGTCGTAGAAGGTGAGGATCTCATGCTTGGTCTCCTGTACTAAGACGTTGAGCCATACGCTGAGGTTGGTGCCCACCATGTGCATCAGCCCGAAGCGCGCCACTATCTTGTGTTTGTATACTTTCATCTGAAAATTACGTTAATTTATCACTAGCTTTCGTTCGCGTGAAATTTTATAAAAACATAAATAGCCTATGTGTTCTTCCAGACTACCCTCTACATCTATACATTGTATCAAAATCCGTTCTGCCGTTTAGGCTACGAACTCTAACAAACATCCATGCATCTAAACTTTCGCATTTATAATATTAGTAAGAAGTAAGATTCAAAATACGTTTAGTTGCACGGAGAAATAAAATATGAACAGATACAGATGAACTGAGACAAGTGATCATACCATGCAATAAAGTTCTGGAACTCTGGCACGAAAATTTACGTCAAAGAATTCGTAAAATCTTTGAAAAAAATGTATGAAAGTCGCAGTGTGCACCCGTTGAAGACGCTGCCAATTTTCTTATAAATATTAACATTTGTTTATCTTACCTCGTTATTCAGAAAGATGAAATACATTTGTATGAATATGAATGCCATTCTGGTGGCTGGTGTGAGCGCGAGCAACACGTTGTGGCAGTTGGTGTTACGCTCCAGCTCCCAGTACTGACCAAACTCCAGTCCCGAGTAGATCATTGACCCAATGCCGAAAGCTACAGACAAAAATACAAGGATGTAAATCAACTTTTAAAGGAAGAACTAGCTTCTATTGATTCTACGTTATTCATCAAAGGAAATCAGTTTATTTTTTCTTCTTTGTAAATTATAAGAATAACAAAAGAGTATCTAAACTTCCTCAACAAATAATCGTTAGCCAAAATGTGGTAAAAAGTCGAAACAACTCCAAAGGGTAATCTTATTAGGCCCAGTTTATTGCCTAAATGAATTACCCGGGACCGTCTGTTCCGTACCTTAAACTTTGCCGGAAAATCATTACAGACTCAAACTGTACAAGTAAACAAAATCAGATTTTTCTGTATTTACTTAAAAGTACCCCGAGTGAACGATCCCAAGTATCTAATATTTGCATCTCATTATGCTTCCATTTCCAACTTTCCTCAAGAAATAATTAAAGTTGATTTTTATTTCTAACAGGCCAATTTTACATTATTATACTTATAAATAATGAGCCTTAGTAAAATTGAAGACATCATACGACATGTATATGACAGTAATAGAGTAACACCAGAATTCATATTGAATATAACTAAATACAGTAATTAATACAGAAAAAACCGTTAAAAAGCAGTTAATCCAACAAAAAAATAGCACTTTCTTTAGTGAGTACAATAATATCCTTTAAGGAACATAATGTAACTGAAGCCTCTAGAGATCGGAGCCTTAATGTGTAGAACGTATGTTACGTTCTTTTGTTATTAAATTCTACGTGGAATTCCCAAAAGAATTTTAGCGAAAGAACATAAAAATAGCGGAAGAAATACAATGTCTTCCATTTACCATTGTAAGGCGCAGCGTAAATGATACAATAGGCTTCTGGGCCGCGACTATTCGCAAAAAGGAAAATTTACGACGCAAAGAAAATGCAATGATAAAGTACTGTAAAAGGCAATTCAGAGTGAAAAATTATCATCGTAAATTACAAATGGAATATGAGCGGTTAGGGATGTAGGGGAATACTCCAGTATTTAACAGCCGTAGACGTCTTTTCCAATTTTTATACTGAAAAGAGTAGAACGTAAAGCGAGCCATCGAATCATCGAAAAGCAAATACAAGCAAACTAAAAAAATTAGAAGTCATAGTTTGTAGTACTTTTTATTGTATCTCATTTATGTTGAAACTAGCTTTTCCCTCGCTAAGTTCCCATGGAATTAAAAAAAAAAAAAAGAAAATAGCCTATATCTTCTTTCACACTATGCTCTACATCTAGGCCAAATTTTATCCAGATCCGTTGAGCCATTTAGGCTACAAACTGTAACAAACATCCATCCATCTATCCAAACTTTCACATTTATAACATTAGTAAGAAGTAAGATTGAGACACCTACTTCAGCATTGGACATTTTCTGGCTGATGTTTATGATAATAAAACAAAATGTTCTTACCAACTGCACCCATCCTGAGGTAAAAGCTGCCATAATGGTGCGTGCGTGCAGCGAGGGCGAAGCCAAGCGACAGTCTCTTGGCAGCCAGCTGTGGTGGCGCTGCAATCGCTGTGCTGCGCTCCGTTCGCGACGAACATGACTCCGATTCCGACGGTGATGAACTTGAGTCTGATTCTAATAATAAAATCAATTGATCGTCAAACATTAGAGACTGTTAGTAAGAGTCTAGTCAACGTCTGTCTAACTTTCAAGATTATCAGAAAACATGAAGTCATAAAGCTTTTGCAATAAAAAGGCATCAGTTAATTTATATGTAAATACGACATCGAATTCTGTACATCGACCGAAAATCACCATAAGGGTAATGTTTACGAAATGTCAAACTAATTATAAATCACTAGAGCTAAAATTGTCTCCCGACATACCCTATGATGTAAAACGTATTCATCCTACCCTTTGTCAGTCAGATTGCGCCCGGCGGGCTTTTCACCTCATTTGAATAACAAAACGCGTGAGACTTGAATATGAAAAATCACTCTCTATCTATACTTACGACTCCAGAGTTTCGATTGAAATCGTATAAATATATGTATTGAAATTGCGTACGTGCCACAAAGTCTATCATCTCTTTACGAAGTTAGAGAAAGCATCTACATATTATTTTTAGTTATTTTGGCTGTGACCTTTTAAATACGAAAACACCTGTTATTCAAAAGTCGATCTTAATCCTCAATTTTTACTAAAGTTGAAAGGAGGTTTTAATTACTTTGACGGCGACTTTCGTAACAAGCACTCAAATTTCTTTTAGCATGTTCTTTTGGCGATGTTATAGCGCTGCAAACTTAATTATGAGTAATAATTTTCTTAAAAATATAGCAAACGAATCAAACAAACGACAAACGTAATTAGGTTTACATGTTTTATTTTTAATTAATTATTCGTTCCTTAATGATGTAGGTACTTTTGAAAAGCTTAACAAATAAATTCACTAAAAGAATAACGTTCAAAGTGACGTTTTTGATAGTAAAATCTTTTCAAAGATCCGTTAATTTCAACTTTAACCGCCATACAATAGTATACTAATCTGCATCGTGAATAAAGACGTCGTCTACGAGTGTAATATTAAACTTCTTATAATTGCATCTTTACTTCTTGGAAAAAAAAATCTGCGACAATACAAGCTTTAAAATTTTAGTATGAAGCGTATTTGATTCCTGGCCATTAAAGTAACTGATGCCCGAAAAACAATATCTTTCTGAACAGAACGTATGAAATCAAAATATCACGTAATTAGCAAAAGTGAATCTGTAAGCCAGTATCAGCATGGCTTGCAATTGGGAATTTTAAAAACAACTGTATAATATACCAAATCTTTGTTTACTTCCATCTTCACTACAACTGACTGGACTGAATAAAAAACTGCAAAAATAATTTTTAATATAAAAAATCTACTTCACCCGGAAAATGAAATTGAAAGACTGAGACTTTTTAGGTGTCGATCATTACAGGCATCTATTTAAACGTAACGGATTTCTTTTTCCTAAACCAATATTAAAATTAAAAAGCTACGTTGTCAGTCACTAACATGAGGCTATTTTTTACCATTTATTAATTCAAGAGGGACGAAGTCGCGAGCAACAGCCAGTAACGTATAAATACGAAAGTTAAGATGGATATATAGTATATATCTCCAGAACGCCTCAACGGGAATATAAGTTAAGATATTTTAATTCCGCACGAAAGTTGCGGTCAACTTCTAGTCTGCTATACTTGCGTCCGTGACGGCCCCAACATTGATATCCCGAATTATTTAATACATTACGGTTCGTTCCTTTTCGCAATAAATATGTTAAGAGGTAAATTATTTAATATTAATTTTTCCTTAAAAAACTGGCGGTTCAAAATTGAATTCTAAAACCAAAAAGTTGTGGTCCGTTTTCGCATGGTGCGTGATATGTTTTTCTTAAATCGGTTTTCGATTGAAGTCATTGCCATACGCTAGTTTATCGCAGGTCAAACATAAATTTATAAACGTAACTTTAACACCGCTTAATACATTTGTTAGTTGAAGACTTATTTCCTAGTAAGTGATTGCATGTCTCCATCACACGAATTTTTGTTATTATTTTAGTGCATTAATAATGAAAAAATGTATTATAATATTGTTATTTACTTTACATTTAGTAGCTTGTGAAGAAGATGCGGATTTCGAAGGTATTTTTTTATTATGTATTTTAATGCTCCTCTCGCTTCGCTCCATATTTGAATGTACATATAAGGTTCTGGAACTCAATTATTATTGAATATCACTATGTTTTCATACATATAATTACTGTTCAGATCAGAGCTTATATTTTTTATAACATAGTGTTTTGTGACAGGTGGCAAATGTACAACAAATACCAACGAGTCTGGTGTCTGCAGATATTTACAAGATTGTGAATCTGCAATAAATCTACTTAGAATAAAGAAAAAGATCAAGGTAACACTTTAAAATAATAATGTTTAAACTGAACCGTGATTTTTATACGGTTTTATTTTATTTGTTCCATTAATCTGAAATTACAGCCAGTTCTTGTTAAAAGATTGATCTAAAGAAACACGTGTCTCGTTCTGATGACGGGATATAAAAAAAAACTATAAAATTTAAAAATGTTGAATTCAAATATTTACGATTTTTCGAATTAATTTATAATGTTTTACGTATACTGTATTCTATTAAATACTAGCTGTTCCCGTGCGGCTTCATCCGCATGAAATTATGAAAATGTTATTTTATTGTTAACATTTGTCAAATTATCAATAGCAAATGTCAAAATGACATGACATTACATGACAAACCTTAGCAATCTTTCTTTCTTGATGTTGGCAGCAACTTATGGTCTCTTTCCCACATTAGGGTTTTTATCCAAAATATTTATACCTAAGTATAATGGCGTGAAAATGTATAGCCTAAAGCATGACGTAAGTGTAGGGATTTTTATTAAAAAAAGAATTATTCAAAAATAAGTTGTAATTGCTGACATCTTAGGCAACAAAGAAGTGTGTGTTTACGCTTTATTATAATAGTATAGATAGTATAGATATAGCTAGATATGTTCATTATTGTTCACTTCGTAGTTTTGATAATTTCAGACTTGTTTCTATAATGGTATAAAAAGATATGTATGCTGCGTCCAGACACCAATAATATCAATACCATCAAGAATAAGTTCACATCTAGAACCAATATCCGATTTAGTATTTGTTAAAATACACAAAGAAGGAGTCTTAAAAAGCGGTAACATTGTAAGTAGTAAAAAAAAGATTAATGTAATCTATTGTTCCCAGTTTCTTGCCGTATACTTATATTGTTTCTATACAGGGTTATTGGTAATTAGACGTATTCCCGTTAGGAGGTAATAGAGAGGATCATATGTGATAATTTTGACCCCTATATGCATTATCCAAAAGTTAACCGTCTTCGTGTAATCTTGATTTTTCGATTTTTTCAAAAAAGGTCGAAATTGCAAGTTCAAAATTTTATTAAAAAAAAAACTATTAATAAAAACTTAATTTTTTCTTCGGATTTATAAAAAACCATTAAACACTGATTATAAAAACATCATTTATCTGTCCAAATTAAAAAATGCGAGCTAAAGAAACATTTTACTTCAATATTTTTCGAGATTCTCATCCACTGAAATGCCTTAAAAACGAAAAAAACCATAACGGAACTCAGTCTGCAGATTTTTTTAAATACATGCCCGTTTTTTAAGCTCTCCAAAAATGCATAATAACCAGGAACTTGTCCCCAGGTCACTGAAATAAACACATGATTTCAAAGGAATCGTGCGGTATTCGTACTCGAACTAAAGTTACGGTTGGTCTTGAAAACTCTTAAAAAAGGGATTCCCCTCTATTACCTCCTAACGGGAATACGTCTAATTATCAATAACGCTGTATATCTATATATTCTAACCTCAAATGTTCAGTCGCCTTCCGCGGACGTGTAACAATTGCACAAAATCTGTCTATTACTTTAAGAAAAAGTAATAAATAGAAGAACTTTTATTTCAGGAATGTCGTTTCAATGACACTTTTCCTATAATATGTAGACGTATTGTACACGACTTTACTACTCTTCGATTCAACGAGCCTCCTAAATGTCCTGTATTGGAGAAGCCATACGTACGCGCCAACTTGTTGCCACACCAAAGCGTCATATACGATGGTAAGACCATTAGATGTTGCTGTTAGGAGTCATACAAGGTTCAAAGCTTATGGCAACACTAGTGCTCCAAGACATATTAACTTTCGATTAGCGATATCGCTAGTAGAATCTACAAAATGAATGGGAATAACGAAACCAAAACTTCAAGATTTATAAAATCAATGCCGACTTCACGTGAGTGGAATAAGACTAGGGATTCTGATTAATCAGTAAAAAAATACTACCATTTTAAGGAAAAGAAAAGGTTTTCCCATATATTTATCTGATGAAAAAGATTTTTCTAAGCATACTTATGTTCGACTAGCTGTTGTCCACGACTTCGCCTACGCATTTTTAAGACAAAAGCCTATGATATGCTTGTCTATGTCAGCTACCCTTCAGAGTCTTGCTGATTACCAGGAACAAACGCGGCTTGCGGACAGACAGACAAAAAAAATTTAAATGCAATTTTCGTTATCATCAACGCAAATACATCATCTTCCCGAAATCTGAATTTTTTCTTTTGGTATTACAGACACTCCTATATAGATGGTTGGTATGTATGACAATACGATTGTTAGCCTAACTGAATTTATCTCCTAAGTGTTATAGGGGTACCTACTGTTAGTTAGGATTATGGCATTTTCATTGAAAACATTATTTATATTTTAGCCTGTTACGCATACTCAAGACTGGGAAGTAAATGCTTCATAGACGAATTTTACACAGACGAGTACTATCGAGATACCTGTCAGAGCTACAGGACCACGTTCAAGATATCAGACGGTGATCTAGCTAAGATTAAGGAGTTTCCACACATGGTAAGTTATCTGCCATAGTTCCTAACTGCTAACAGCGCAACCACATAATCGATCCTTTATATCCATCCGAGGTTTACTTTTTGGGAAAAGTACATAAATAGAATAATTATAAAAATATCAATTCTTTGACCAATAAGAACATCTATAGAAAATGAAACGTATAGAACGACAAACTTGACCCGGTGGCCATTAGACAAATAAAGTAATTCCAAAAATCATTGGCTCCTTTCTCGGCAATGTCAGATCCTTGTCTGGTTGCAGATGTCACGTCATGTACCTTTTTTATGTTTGAATTTTTATACAATTTTACAGAACTAACTGCGATAATAGCGTCGCTTTACCTGGTCCCGCTTAGACAAAATAACATTCGATTATCGCTATCGCTGATCGAAAAGTCAAAAATGTATGGAACTGGCCGTAAGATCTGATAATTTAAGCCTAATTGAAGTCCCTTTCCCTTTACTACCCCTTTCTTATAAGGAGAGGATGAGAAGAGGAAGTGGATTTGACGGTGTAGGAGATGCATAGGAAGGGGAAAAATCCTCTATGTGCGTCTCCTCCTCCGTGGGATAGGGGTAGACAACGCATCTGCAATTGCGGATGTCATGTGGCCGCTTGCTCGTTTTCCATCTTATGTTATGAAAAAAAGGAAGTCACGGGTGTGTCACGTAATTATGCCTATACATTTTGACACATTTTGTCGATTCTACTTTATTATATTTTATTGTAATGTTTCAGGCAGTTACTGGATGTAGATCAAATCCAGCTGTGGACATCTTATGGATCGGCGGTGGTTCTCTGATAAGTGAATATTTCATTCTGACGGCGGCGCACGCCTTAGGAAACAGAGAGAAGTGAGTGTAGTGGGGATCTTACTATCTAAATCATAAAAAACCACTTTTACTATAATAAAAGATGGCATACAATAGAACCATATGATATCACTAGAGTAGGTGGGGCAAGATTGACAACAATTTTAACATTATAGTGAGGTGACTTTCATTGTATAAACGTTTAAAGTGAGTAGTTCGATACGGACTCAAACATGCGTCATGAAAATCGATGTTATTCGTTTGATTTTTTATAACGTAAAAAAATCCCTGACCGAACATTGTGACGATGTTCATTTTAAATAATAAGCCATTGGATTAATACATTATATACAAAGTTATTTGTTTCAGTGGCTCTGTCAATTACGCTTTATTGGGGACTCTATATAAAAACGACACTCGGAGCGGCGAACTTTACCATATTGTACAAAGAATCAGGCATCCTAAACACAGCTCTTGGACGCTTCAAAACGATATTGCCCTCCTCAAGCTTCACACTCGGTGAGTTGCTACTGACACTACGTCATCTGAAGATGTAATGGTCAAGGAAATAAATTCTCTTCCCGCTTAGGATTAAATACCATGCAACCAACTGTTAGTGCTCGCCACGTGTTCCGAGTTTGCCGTGGTAATGACTCTTTTCAAGGACCTATAGGCAGAGTTATACTTCTTGAGCACGCTGGTATTTACATCCCTTGCTATCGACGCCTGAGCCCGGGTTGGACAGTAATCCTGCTTTTAGCGCGCAACTAATTTGCTTGATTTATCAAACTAGGGTCAACAACTGCCCCAGCTGGACACAACAGATGGTAAAATATGATTTATACCCTGAAAAATCACTTGTACATTTGCAGCGTTAGGTTCTCGGAATTCATCCGGCCTGCATGCCTCACATTCCCTGGCGCGAAGGAATTCGAACAAAACTTTGGTATTGTCGCAGGATGGGGTTCAACGGGAGAGAAAAGTAATACAAGCGATAAATTACTAAAGGTTAGTATTGTTTAAATTTCTTTTAGTATAGGAGAGAACGTACAGAAAGAGGTTATTTTCAGTTCTTATGCATCCCCACACTCAACCAAACCACTTTCCCTTTATTTTTGTGATTTTAAAATACTGAATCTATCTTGAATGAAGCCGACTTCAGGGTAATAAATAATATAGACATAAGAGCAACAATAGGGCAGGTCTGATTAATTCTCAAAAATATTGCATATTATGCAAGCACTGCCTTTCGGATAAATAAATAATTTTCAGAATCGGTCCACAAGTGGCGGAGATATGTCGTCACAGTCACAGGCATAAAAGACGAATTGAGTACCTCCTTCTTTTGGTAAGTCACTTGAGTTTAAATTCTTCTGCTTTCAGGGGACCATATACCAAGAGTATAATCATACCGTGTGTAAGGAAAAAATGAAAAGAACAAGATTTGTGTGGGACAATGAGACCATGATATGCGCAAAATCAGGAGTATTACGGCCAAAACAGGACACTTGTAAGGTAAAATATAACTATTTATATGACTATGTTATCAGTAGGTATTTCTTTAGCAGTATGATTGTGCCAAAGATTGCGTTAAAATATTATGTTTGACATCTATCGGCCTTAACTCTATACGTGATTCGAATCTGCTTCTCGTGACATTAGATTCAATTTTATGCTAAAAGATAAAAATGCGATTGGTTCAAGAATACAAATTTCGCTAAAAACTCTAACATCCATCCATCCATCTAAACTTTCGCATTTATAATATGAATATGATTTATTGATTTCAGGGTGACAGCGGTGGTCCCCTGATGACAATGAGCAGCATTTATGTACCTTGCTCGTACTTTGTCGTAGGCATCGTGTCATGGGGCTCTTGGTGTGGAGTGAACCTACATGGATCTTACACCAACGTGTCTTACGACAAGTATCAAGAATGGATAGTCGAAAACGTGTGGCCATTAGAATTTAATTCTAGAAAAATAATTCTCTTATGACCAACATTTGAATAACGTTCTGAAATTGACCTATACAGATATCGCGAGACAACTCGTTGCTTGGAAATAGACTTAAAATATCCTATTGATTGCTAGTTAGAGCATGCATACACCTGAAACCAAAATATCGTACAACTGTTTAGTCTCGCTTTGTTTCCTGTAAGCTTATATGGAGGTGCGCACACTACTCGAATTTTAGCTGTACAACTAAACAGTTGAATTTACTGAAAACAATCGACAATCGCACAACTGTTGTATAATAGTTTAGCCAAAGGTGTACTACTCGTATTACCACGCGGCGGGTGGCAAAATCGCAGACTTGCAGACAGACAGGTTTTGCGTCATAAGCAACACAAATTCCATTTTTTTTTTTCAAAATTTCGACGTTAAAAGCTCACAGTTGGAAGGGAAAATAAAGAATTTATGTTTATTTTAATTTATTAATCAAGATGTCACAGTGGGAATAAAACAATCAAGCGTTAGTTTAACGCTTTGCACCTTCGTGATAAGTTCTCATTTTGTAATCTTTCCTAACCCCTATTTAATCAACTTAAAGATTTCTATGCTTATCAAGTAACAGTAAGTTACTTTCTTCAATTAAATATAAAAGCATTAGTTTTATTAAATTTGGTGTACATTGTTTTGTTACTTTATCTTATCCATAAATTACAATTACGAATGACCAAATATTTTTGTAACTTACAACGTACTCGTAAGATGATTTTGGTTTAGTACAAACCTTCTAATAAAATTAGTAATCGAATTAATAAGGAATTTATCTATTATATATCTATGGATGTATTAAAAAGGTAAGAGTTAATTCATTGAACTAAAGACATTTCAAGAAAATAGGGTGTTTTCTTCATGAAAGAGAAAATGTACAAATTATTCAGAACATTTTAGATAGCTCTCCTCGAACTTTGTCTTCTAACTTCTGTACTATCATATTACGTATTAGGTTGAAATAATGTAAGGTTACTAAATGTAGAATGTTGTGTTCCGTTTGCATCTTATTAATACAAGTACAGTACTTACTGGCAACAACTTTGGTTTCTGCAGCAGACCGCGACCTGTCTCTTACGAGTGCCGCGTACATGTAGAGTAGAAAGACCATGCTACCGATGTACAGGTACAGGTAGAAACCCTAACAGATAAATAGATTATTAAATTTACAAAAGAATATCAGGAATTTACTCAAAAACATATATTTTAATTGTACAAGTTTAGTATAAGGGTACCGCGATTAGTTGATTATATTTGTTGGGCTATAAAGTCAAATTTTATGTTACGAGACGTAATAAGCACACTCGCAAGGGCGCTTTTATAACACGCGTTTAAGAAGCTTTGAAACAGATCACATGAATTTCCATGTATATCTGTTCATACAGCGGCGAATGAAACAAGAGTGATTTAATAGCCTTCGTCGGTCAAGAGACGCCAGCGCCGAATTTTAACGCTGCGTTAAAAAAAACGCCCGTGTGAATTTTAGTGGAAAAATCTGAAATGATCGGACTCACCTCGTAGAAAGATGGCGGTATGTAAGTAGAAATGACTTCAGCCATGGGAAAGGCAACTCCCATCACCACCAGCAGCTTGCCGTATAGCGCGGAGAGAGTCGTCGCCAGCGCGTCGCTCCTAATTAAACAATGTTATGAATAGATGGCGCTGTCCTCAATTGTACAAAGAAATAAATTTTGGACTAAAAATTAATTTTGGTGTACGAGTACAGACTAAAATTCTTTAAAAAAAATAGGTTATTAACTTCAAGCCTTATTTAAGCAAATGTTAATTAATAAAAAAAATTAACATACACAAATAAAGCACATTTCAGGATCTTAGGTCTACAAATCAAATAATTTGGAAAAAAATAGGTAACGACATACCTCAAACTTTGATTACGATAGTAAAGAATCAAAATTAAAACTTAAAACCGCTCAATTAGAAATTATGAATACTTCACAGTTGTGCCATTGAGTAAAATTATTTGCAAAGGCTTGAATGGCGATAAAAGCATATTGTTGCACTTGAGAGTGCACGTAAAAATTACACGCCTTACTTCCCGGCTCCCTTTTCATCATCGGTTGACAAGATGCACCGAGCTATTCCATTCTTCCGTTGTTTACGACCCTTGCATCCGTACAAAATGCTCTCCTTGTATTTTAACAAAAATTTTATATACACAAAAAAATATTTCAGCGAGTCATTTTAATGAATGAAACAGAAAGAAAATACATTTTACTATAACTTTGAAGTTTCACTATTTTCTGTTTCTTTTGAAAATGTTTGTAATACAAAGAATATCTTTCATGCCTTTTTATTTAAAAAGTAAATATACAAATTGTGCGGTATGAGAAAAGTCAAGATTAAGTGGTTTCTAAAATATTTTTATTAGTACAATATTTATCATAATCAATAAAAGTTCGTAAAATTAAATAAAAACTTCAATTTCATCGACGTTACGCGGTACATTTTCGTAAACGAGATGTTTACCTACTTAGACCCGAGATGTGTCTCCATTTTGCATGAAATTATTTTTGCAAGTAGGTAAGCGAGCGTGCTCGAGCCTCCTCTACCCTGATTAACTTCGAAGTACTTTAAAAGTAATTGCTTTTACGCTTTTTAAATTATTTTACACATATTTTTTTTTAAATAATGGATACCAATTTTTTTTAATGTAAATTTTTGCTTTTACAATTTTTTTTACAACTTTTACAACTCTAATTACTTTATTAACACTTGAAAAACTTATGTAACATCAAGACTGCAATCGAAATCGATCAAGAATCCCGAATAGCTGACAGATCTCAAGCCATACGAAACATCATAACCCCGACTTCGTCAAGGGCAAATAATAAAACGCGACCAAAAAACAAAGATCCCTTTAACGTTGTCCAAATTCATTCCTTAACCAGGAAACAATTCGGATATCTTGAAAGTAAAACGTTCCACTATAGACTGGTTTCTAAAAGCTCTTAGCACTCCCTCTGGGGAAAGGCCCCTTCTCGTAGTCGCTAGGTTGCTATAGTAACGGCGTGTTATTGGCTCCCCGCGGCTATTGTGGGGATACTTATATGTATCTACTCAAGTTGGGACCGGGGCTTCGACAATGATAATATGCCACTGTCCTATACATCGTTCGTTATGACGTCACCGAAACAAACGAATTTAAATAACGAGGTTTTGTTGGGGTAAGGTTTTGCCTCTGTGTTTATACTGAGTACCAAGTATGATTTGTTTGTTTTTTGATACGGAGGTACTTTAAAAATTTAAACTGAATACATTTTCTTGAAATATTACCAGCGAAATAATCATATCCATAAATAATAAATACTTGAAACCGAAATGAAGCAATCACTGCCTAAATTAGGAGCTTAACTTTACCAAAGTTACTCTAGAAACCAAAAGCGGGGACACAATAATTGCTAAACTTTGCTGTCCGGACATTTCAAGGATTTGCGGTCACCATTTAGTTGAACACTGCCACGGGCAAGATTTGACATTTACAACGGACTGTCTTTGAAACTATTGAAATGTTCCCTGTTGTTTGATTTGCTATATAACATAACAAGTTTTATTAAAAGCAGAGCCTTTTTAAAAAATGCATGTTTTTCTTGTTTTCGCAGACTTTATAAGTGATGCTTTCCGGTGGTGAAACGGTGTGAGATTCAAAATAATAATTCCATATAGCATTCGTATTTCATTCATACACACATACTTGTATATACAAAAAAATGAAAACATTTATATAAACCAAGTAACGTAATGCACAATAAATCTTCCCCATACTAAATGAAGACATTTAAATTACGGTACATTTTAGTTAAGGAACATCCGAGGGCGGCGTAAATTAATTCTCTCCAGACTACATCGCACTCAGAGTCGTGGTTTAAAACGTCTGCCAAGACGACAGTAATCTACGAAACTTCGGAGAAACGTTCCTACTCTTTGTGATGGTCCAATTCAGAATTTCGCTATGAAATAAAACAATTCACAAAGCACTCTTCAGTTAACCCAAATAACAAATGAAGATCTCTATTGTGGTCTATGAAATGCAAGCGCGATATAAAACTCCGGATTCCAAGTACCTACGTTCTTCTTTGTTATATTATTTCGCACGAGGGTGGCTGTGAGGAATCACGTCGGTACAATTTGTTTGTTCTCACCACTTAACAGGTAGCGGTATCCAAGATGGCGGTAGTAAAGAGTGTGTGTTTTGTTAATTTAAGCACTATACTATTGTGTCAACATGAGAGCTTTTCATCAAAGTTTGTATTCACCGAGATTTTCCCTGTATTTTGAAATCCTCTTGCAAGCTCAATTGAAGTTGCAGGGATTAGAAAACGTTGAAAAACTCGAATTTATGTGTTAAAAGATAGAATAAAATGACTAACTTATTTCGTTTAAGTTCACTCGTACTTGAATATCCAAATATCCTTAACAAGAACAAAAGTAGCCTATAATGCATTTAATATTTTGCCTCGAATATCTTGATTTCAAAGTTGTCCTGTAATAGAACACACAGTTGAATAAAATTGTTAAGTTTTTTTTTTAATTAGTAACTGGTAGATTAAAGACAATTTTTTTATGAATTAATTGGCAACTCAAAACTTGTAAGGCGTCTGTGCGTACCTACCGCAAGTTTGTGAAGGGCGCACGCAATAGCGACTTCGACTTGAGTTCTGTAATTTATCGCGCCTCCGTCCGTTCGTTGAGCTGTCGCATTTTTCACTCTGACAGTTTCATCCACCCACCCAATGATACGGTCCGCTATATCCGTGAGCACTCCAATTTCCGAGCCCATTGAAACGGGGTGCAGTGTAATGTAATTACCAAACCTTTCATCGATATCTCCACCGTTCAAAAATGCAATTAATTCCATCAAATTCATATTGAATTTAGTCATATTTAATAAAAATGTGTTTGCTATGAAATACGTGTAGCCTAATTGTGGTTATTCGTAAAAAAAAAACAATATTCGGGACCTGTCCTATATATCCAATTCAGCACCTTTTATTGCACATATTTTTTTAGAGACTAAATAAAAAACATATTTTTCGTTTCTGTGAAATAAAATTTCATACGAAGATACGTGAATTTTATTATTCGAGAGGTTAACCCAATACCAATACGTTAATGGAAATTTTAGTATTCATAAAATTTTATGATAGCAATATTTGAATGGTTACATCCAAAAATATGTTACCGTACCACTTGTACATGTTATATATAAAATATTCTTATATACGGATAAGTTTCGTATTTTTACTTATTCAGTTAATATAAAGAAAATTGCCAAGGGAATAACGTTGGCGTATTTATGACGTCTGCTCCTTGGTTGGCACGCTGCCAAATGTATCTGAGAGTGGAGCCACTACACGGGTCATTTGCATTATGTTTTATGTAAAATATAATCCCCTTAGTCTCATACAAGGTTAATTGGAAGCAAAGCTGTAATGTACGAAGTTTGTTTACGATCTCATAGTTTGTAGCATTTTAATAGGAGCTTTTGCACGAGTTTAATATACTCAGTTTTCTTTTAAGCTTCAAAAAGCTCATAAAGAAAGCCTTCCAAAGATTCAATTTTAAATTTATTCTGACATATCTCACACATTTTTAATTACAGTTATTTAAATACATCATCAACTTGCCCTTATCCCTTGTGGAGGGTCGGCACAGTATGTGTTGCTCTTCCATACATCTCTATCAGCCGTCATATCTGAATCCACTCCATTCTTAAGCATATCCTCTTTCACCCAATCCATCCATACTTTCTTCGGTCTTCTTCTTTCTTTGCAGCCATCCACATTCATTCTTAACACTTTCTGGTTTATGTCTCCATCGTCTCGTCGCACAACATGTCCATACCACGCTAAATTACAGTTACTTAAATACGGCTAAGAATAAAAAAAATATACTTCAAAGGAGGTACATTGTCAGTTTACCAATGTTAATAATATCAGGTTAATAATTTCCATTAAAAATCTGTGTCAAAATAATCCGCATCAAAAAGAGATCATTAGAAAATTAATAAAACTTTTATTAAATAAAAAATTATAAGACCACAAAACTTTAAATTTTTTACACTTGTAAGCATAATTTATAAACTCTTATGAGCATAACTATAGAAGTAAGTACTCACGCGCTTATATTATGCATGTTCTGGATGGATGCGGAAGGTCTTGATGGGTGTCTTGTAGGCGGTAGGGGAGGCTGCGGCGCGCCCGGCCCGAACAGCACCGGCTGCAGCGACAGAGACCCGCC